AGCCCTATTTTGCTAGAATCCATGTATTATTGACAAAGTTTTGGGGGGTACCCACGAAGGACGTTGGAGTATACCCATTCCGCCAGCCTACAGCCATCTAAGAAGACTTAGGGTAGAGGTGGTTAACTAGGAGCTTAGTCAACTATTTAACGCTGTAGGAACTACAGCAAAACTAGACATAACGCACGAACGTGCTAGGAGGGTATAGAAACATCTTCTAAATCTAATGCAAGCATACAGTATGCTAGGTCACTATTTAATAGTAAGTAGTTGTAGTTGTAGTAACTTGTGTTAGTTATGCTAAGAGAAAATGGCTGGTTTAGTGATATGGCTGGCTCAGTGATAATCTACGTTAGTCTAAATTAACTAAGCAAAGAAATAAAGACGCAAGCACTAAAGTTAAAGCCTATCTAGATTTAATCTATATAGATATAGGAGGTCCTATAAGGCCTAAAGCACTAAGAGGCTTTAAATACTATATTACTTTTAGAGACAGCTACACAAAATATCTAGTAGTAAAACTACTTAGATCTAGAAGTATTATAGTAGATATTATTAGGACTACTATTGCTAAGCTAGAATTAGAGGCTAAAGACAATAGCTCTTATAGCTCTAATAGTAAGAATTTTAGTAAACCCTTTAGTAATAATAAGGTTAAAGCTTTGCAGTTAGACAATGAATTTAAGTCTAAAGAATTAGACTTATACCTAACTAGCAAAGGTATTCTTACTAGATATTCTGCTCCTTATACTCCTGAGTAAAATGGTGCAGCAGAGATAATTAATAGAGTACTCTTTAACAAGGTTAGAGCTCTGTTAATTAATAGTAATCTACCCAAGCTAAACTAGGGTGAAGCATTACTAGCTGCTACGTACCTCTATAATAGAACACCTAGTAGCTCTATAGAGGTTAAGACCCCTTACTTTATAAAATACAAAGTGCTGCCTAACTTAAGCAATATAAGAGTTTTTAGCTCTTTAGCTTACTACAAGGGACCTAGCTTGTTAACTAAGAAGCTAGATTCCAAGGCTACGCCTTTTTACTTAATAGGCTTTGTGGGGTCTAATATCTATAAACTCTATAATTATAGTAGTAATAAGATTATAACTGCTAGAGATTGTAAAATTGTAGAAGGTTATTTCTATAGGCCTAATAACAACAACAATATTTAGAGAGTATTTACTAGACTATAGCCTAATAAATCTAGTAGCTCTACGTATAGAATTATAGGAAGAAATCCTAAGGTTGTTATTAATAATAAACGTCCTACTTCTAGTGTAACGTACTCTATCACCGAGCTGGTTATATCACCAAACCAGTCAAAATCTGCCAAGACTAACACAACTCCACACTTTACAGTATGACTTAACAACATCATAACCTATTGCTTCAACATAAAGGGAGACTGCAGCTTACTCTCTAGGCCTACAATACTGGACAGTTTCAGAGCAATCAGGCTGCTGCTGCTGCATTCAACGTTAACCAACGCAGGCTCTCTAAACGCGCTAGCAATACTCTATTTTAACTCAATGTATACGCAAACTGCTAGAAGCTTACTACAACTAAAGAGTAGATAATTATCTAATATATCCTTAACCTTAATTTATAAGGATTTGCGCCTTAGCTGTGTAAGGTAGTAGATATAGCTAATAAACTATTAGGTGTGTGTAGTAGGGAGCCTGTTAGTAAACTCTAGGCTATAAAATTTATAACATGTTTAGATTAGCTTAAGATAGCGTTTAACTAAGTAAAGAATAGATAGAGGATACTATAGGAAGATCCTAAGGTAATTAACACGTAGTTTATGCTAGTAGAGGGTACTAAGGCTAAGTATAGTATCTATAATAATAACATGCACAATTTTAATAAGACTAGGTTCTAGATAGGCGTAATAGGGTTAATAAAGGTTGTTACAGGCGCTAAGAGACGCGCTTAACCTGAGCTTGTTTAGCCAGGCAATTAGGAGTAGGTTACAGTTATACAGAGCATCTGCGCTGCTGGATATGCGACCCCGCCTTTCATCATCTACAAAGGACGCATCCACATCTCTGCCTAGTACAAGGAGACAGATATACCACACAATTAGAAGCTCTCTGTCTCTAAGAATAGCTGGACAAACAACGCGCTTGGCCTTAAGTAGTTGAAGCATTTTAACGCGCATACAAGAGCGCGTTAGGTAGGGGGATACAGGCTACTCATCTTGGACGGCTATAAGAGCCACCTTAACTAGGATTTTAAGGACTATTGCCTAGATAACAAGATCCTTACTCTCTGTATGCCAGCTCACTCGTCACACATCCTCCAGCTGCTTGACGTGGTCTGTTTCTTGCTGTTAAAGCGCAAGTACTCCTAACATGTCTAGGACTTAGCACACCAACATGTCTTCTACATTAATAAGGAAGGCTTCCTTCTAGCCTTTAGAGACGTGTTTCTTAATATGTTTACAAAGGCTAACTATTAGAAGGCCTTTAAGGCATTAGGGCTAGTCCCTACTAACGCGCAGGTAGTGTTAGATCGCCTTAAGGTGCGACACTGTACCCTACTAGCACCCCCTCTACTAGAGACACTGTGGCAGTAAAGGACTCTAAGCAATATACACAAGTTTAGGTCTTAGTTAAAGCTTGTACATAACTCCTTTACTTAGTTACTAGTTATAGCCTAGGCTAGCTTCTCTTAGCTTATTAAAGGTAGTAAATTAATGCTACACTAAAATACACTATAAGCTGCTCGCATTACTAAGCTTAAAGAGCAATTAGCAGTCATAACTAGGAGAAAGTCGCGCAAGCGAAAGTAAATTCAGCATGGCAGCACACTTGAGTATGGCCCAGCAGCATCACAGGTAGCTGCTAAGGTGTCTGTAGCAGCTTAGCCATCAAAGAAGACTTGTAGTGCAGGTACTTAAGAAAGGACCTAGTTAGCCCAACAGCGCTGTAGAAACTGTGGAGGCACAGGGCACAACGCTTAAACGTGTTAGAAAGATATAGAAGAAGATTCTAAATCTAATAAAAGCACGCAGTACGCTAGATTACTATTTAATAGTAAGTTATTTAAGTTACTGCAACATAAGTTGGGCGCGCTAAGAGATTTTGACTGGTTTAGTGATATGACTGGCTCGGTGATAGAGTACGTTAATAGATAACTTGCCTAGAGCAAAAGAGCTAGAGGATAGTTTTAAAGATAAACTAGCTGTCTACACTTCTGTTATTAAAGAAGACACTAGTTAAAATAGCATTGCTACAAGTGCTATTAATGAAGCAAATAGCAAGCAAGACTAGAAATCTCTATATAATAAAGCAATACTAGAGAATATACTTGCTACTTCTAATAGTAATAACTTAGAAGAACCTAGGAGCCTAAAGGAGTTGTTACTTAGAAGTAATAAAGACCAGGAGCTTGTACGGGAAGTCCGACAAGTACCACAAATGGAAGCTGTGGGCCTATGGTAGGCGGTTTGACATGCGACAATCCACGTTTTGGCCCGTGCTGTAGCGTTTACGGCTACTGTGGTGACGGATCTGACTTCTGCGCGCCTGGAAATTGGTAAGTCTTTGATTCCTAGCCCCTGACTGATGAATTATGGCTTACCACGACACTCAGTCACTCGGGCGCCTGTGATCCTGATTTGGGTGGTCCGTCAATAACGGGCGAGTGCGGCCCACTGTTTCAGGGCAACAAGACTTGCGCAGGCACCCAGTTTGGCCCATGTTGTAGCCAATATGGATACTGCGGCAGTGGAGACGTGTACTGCAAGGGTGAAAATTGCCACTTTGGGGCTTGCACGGATTAGGAGATCAATCCGTCCGTCTGGGCGCCAAGACACATTCTAGTATAGATAATCAAGCTGGCGCGCTATGGCCAGCAACACAACACATGTGCCAACACCACAAGGAAAGTTGGTTGTAGAACTGTCATCTGTGCTGCTTTGTGTCACAGCTCTATACTCATACCACCTTTGACTACCTTGGTCACCGTTGAACATGGATGTTGAACGGTGCGTCGCACTCCACAACGAGATTCTACGCTCCAGCTGGATCAGCTCAGGCCGCGAGCCAGACTCGCTGGAATCCGCCTGCCATACATGGTTTGACACTTTCGGCGATGAGGCTGAGGCTGTCCGTCCGAACCTCGCACCTGATCTTGTTACCTTTCTCCAGCGTGCGCGGGTGATCTACGACCTGGAAACGGGAGTTCATCTTAACTTCTTTTATTGGGTGCAAAATCTTGCTTCGCCTGATTTCATGTTCGAGCACACCGAGGACTTGGCGGACGATGAAGATGATGGCAGATACCTGGTTCTTTACGCAATGAGCAACTTCACAGGCCACTTCTGTGGGCTACTGTAAGTTAGAAAGTACCTTTAAGCTCCGCACAACGCTGATTCTCCTGGTCTAGGTATGACCAGGTACAACACCTTTGCATAATTAGTCCGACTATCTACGAGATCGAAGATGCCCTTGAGCGGAGGGTATGGTATCCATTGGAGACAGCCCTGGAGTACTGGCTGAGCCAGATTCGCAAAGGAGCGATCGCTGCTCTGCCGGAGGTCGAAGATCGGAATTACGGAAATGAGCGGTTCGAACCTTGGGAGTTCGTTCCATACACTGACGCTATGCTGGACGAGAACATCAACGCTTTCAATCGTCTTGTCGAAGCCATCGAAGCCCGCATGCCTCCCCCAGCCAGCCCTACAAGCCCCACAGAGATTGTCTACGGGCTTGTAGATGAGATCACACTCCAAAATTTGAACCTACCCCAGCGCTTTGGTTACGAATTCGTGCGCCGCGTACGCCGTCCACGTTTCCAGATGATCGCTCCAGGGCTCGAGGTCCTCGGCCCCTCCACATTCGTAGATCAGCCTTTCGGGTCGTTTTTGTACCCAGGTACTGTCCAAATTCCTCCGCTTCTCCTCTTTCGCTTCAAGGCAAACTACACAGATAATACTATGCCAAATAATCGTACTGGCGAGCCGATTGCCCAGCTATTCCCCCGGCACAGCCGCATTACGACTTATCCTGCCGGTCTCTACTTGCGACCATCTTCGACAATAAGCGCTGAAGATGAATGCTTATTCCTTCTGCCGTTTGGCATAGGGGCTAATGGGTATGCACGGAGGAGTGACGGAAGCAAGTTCGGTAGCAGGAGGACTCCAGCAGACAGCTGTTTCGACCTGTATCGACCGGGGTATCAGCCGTTTGAGCAACACCACGAACATAGTCTTCGAGATGTGCTGGAAAACTGGAGAGGTTTAGTAGAGAGTGGTGTTTGGCAAGTGGATGAGAATGGTGTTGCAGGCGGTATTGATGTGTGGAGAGAGGCGGATAGTAAGGAAAGATGGACACACTATGTTATTCCAATACCTTACAGCGGTACAGAACGAGTTCCTTAACAATGTTATGAAGCAGAAATACAGCAATCTCAGGGTCTAAAGGCCAAAGGACGTTCGCCTGTCACTACTGTTGGGACCGCTGCTTCTCATCCTTAGAAAGCCGCTCAAGGCGTTTACGTGCAAAGAGTAGTGCAGTTACATCAGTATCAGTCAGCTAGTAATTGCCTAGTATTGCAACAATAGACGCACGGTTAGCATTCATGCAAAGGTAAGAGAGAGCACTAGGTGCCTGTTAAGGTACAGACATTTATAAGTAATTAACGTTAGTCTAATAAAGGCATTGTTATTTAAAGTTAGGATAGTAATAAACTTAGTAGGGCGTCTCTTTTGCTTATATCCTATTTATTTAGGATTACCTTTAACGATCCTGGAGCAGCACCTCAAACGCTTATAGACAGTTGCTCTACAACATATGCTACTAACACAATAGAAGCACGCAAGCTGCTCAAAGCAAGTAGTATTACTACACCACGCTCTATTGTAGTCGTGCAGGACCTAATAATAGTCTACTAGATAATCGCATGCTTTAATCGCATCTACTTAACTATAGCTAATCTACTAAGAATCCTTAGTTGTCTAATCTTTATTCCCTATGTTAAGCGTGGCGTAAATAGGCAACTAGCATATAGTATACCACTAGTTAACAAGGCATATATGTAGAAAAAAGACTACTTCTTATTACTTTTAATAGGCAAGATCCTACAACTAAGACACAATAAGAACAGCTATAGTCTAAGATAGGCTGGCGGATGGGTAGGGTATGCTTTTTTACGTTTTGGCTTATAGCTTCTTAACTAGCAGAGATACGCTTACATAATCTATTATTCAATAGAAGCGCCTAGTATTGCGCCTTCTAATAAAAAAAGAATTAGCTTATTCTGCCTAGTATTAGCTAAGTTATTAACACTACCTAGCAAAGTATACCTATTAATAGGTATGCTTGCTAGGTACCCCCCCTTTTTTAACGTTTTCTAGCCTCTAGCTTGTGCAGTTTAATAGTTATAATAAAACCTTCTACTACAAAAATGTAGAGGTGGTTTTTCTCTTTCTTTTCAGCCCTAGTTCGCTAGAATCCATGTATTATTGATAAGGTTTTGGGGGGTACCCACGAAGGACGTTGGAGTATACCCATTCCGCCAGCCTAGTCTAAGAGGTAACAGTACTATTATGTATATTAATATTCCTAATAAGGTTAAGGAGGTATAGATAGCTTTTAACCTAGATTATATAAACTAGATAAGTAGAGTAGTAAGTAATCTAAATTCTGTATTTAAAAGGTTTAGTTTATTAAGTAACATGTTTCACCACCAAGCGGTCACCCGCACCAAGCGGTCACCCCTTATTAAACTCGCGACTATTGTAGTTAATTATCTCTACACCACAACACTGCACTAAAACATAGTATAGCCTAAAATATTATTTAGAAGCATTACTATTATCTAAATCTATAATTTCTACTGTGCAGGTGCGCGAATTGTAGCTAGTCTTGCTACAACGCCTATAGTATTAGTCTTTGCGTACCCTCTTTACACCCTGTTTAGCTGCCTCCCTACTACTATAGTCCTTCTTAGCTATTGAATCTAGTACGTCACCTACTATTAGACTCTCCTCTACCTAAATATACTTTCTTTTGCAACTGTGCTGCTCTGTTAGAGTAGCTATTACCTTACAAATACTAGCTAGTTCCTACGCCTATAACACTAAATTATAACCTATAATAGCTATGCCTTTTACAAGCAAATTAACAGCCTATAGAAGAGGAGAGATTAGTAATTCTCTATGCCTTTGTATGCGCTCACAAACTAGCGTTAATTGCGCCTCTATCTCCTTTAGGGTGGCTGGCGTTTTTGACTCCTATAGGGTGGCCTCTAGTGGTGGAGGTGTTGGCGTGCAAAGCACCACATCAAGCTTTAATAGCACTCGCTCTAGGTTGTGGGGTACTAAACTAGAGCCTCTAAAGCTTGCTAGGATATTTTCCTTTATAATTGTCTTATTAAAAGCAATGCAAAAGGCTGGCAAGAATGTCTCTTTCTTGACTTGCGTGACAGAGTACCTCGCCTAGCTGTCAATCTCAGCAGAGTACGCCTGCTTCAATAGGGCAAAACAGCCTACGTCAAGCAGCTGCAACAGGTGCGATAAATAAGGAGGCATACAGAGAGTAATAATCTTCTGTTCCTTGCAGTACTTAAGGAATTAGTAGTTGCTGTAGCTCTTATAGCTGTCTATAATAAGCAGACAGTACGCACCTACAGTACGCTCCTTTGTATACGTGTTAAAGTGCTTCAACCACATTAGGCTAAGCTTATTTATTGTCTAGCTGTTAGCGCTAGTCTTAATTACCTAGTCACAAGGTAGTCCTAAATACTAGCTTAATATAAGGACCTTGCTACTAAAGATAATAAAGGGTGGGATAGCCTATCCACTAGCGTAGATGCCCTAGATAATTGTGACCTAGTCTTAGTTACCTAGCTATATTGTCTTAGGATTGCTTTGCTTCTTAGAGCCTTTAAAGACTATTTAAGCAGTAATTATACCTATTATAAAGCTAGACTTATTAAACTTGTGTGTGTCTTTATCTAGAATCCTATACTTCTCCTTTGTATTAGCAACTAGCTTAAACCACAGCTCTATAACGCGTAGATCTTTATTTAGGGCTCTTTAACAATTGTATGAGCGACTGCGTTAAAGCTTAACCTCCTTAGTATGCGTTCTAAACCTGTCTACCTAGTTCTTGCCAACAGGTCCTTCATTGCGTGCAGCAAGGAGATTATTAGCCATTTCTTGTACTATAGTCCTTGTAGTGCCTATCCCTCACGCGTCTAACTCAAGTATACATGCAACTATTGCCTCCTCCTCTATCTTATTTAGCTTGCTTGAGTTGGGCTGACAGTCGCGTTGGGCGAGCCTTCCAGCGCGTCGTTGTACTAGCGTTGTTTAGGGGACGTTAAATGTTTTTAATGCGTGTTTTATAGTATTAGGAGGGGTAGCTTAGGTAGCCTAGATAGCAAGGTATAGTGTACCTTTGTTGTAGGTTGATTGCGCGTTGCGTTGTGGTAGCATTGTTGTGATAGTCTGCAATAGTCGCGATTTTGATGAGGGGTGACCGCTTGGTGGGGGTGACCGCTCGGTGGTGAAACACGTTAGAGGAAACTCTTCTTTAATTTAGATTAGGTATTAAATAATAAGATTTTAATAGAGGCGCTACTAATATAAAGGAATATAATATAGTATCACACCTAACATACCTCACGGGCGAGTGGCCGGCCCAGGCGAGTGACAGGATTTTGCCAAGACCACACCAAACTTCATACAACCTGTGATGTCTTAACGCAAAAAGGCTTAAAGTGTCTTAAAGGAACTAAATATATAGCTTGCTATTTAGGCTCTTAAACAAGACGCGACTCTTACTATTCCACACACTGCAACAATCTACAAGGTGTTAGAAAGAACGCTAAGATAACAATATGCTAGAACGCTCTTAAGACGCGATTGTAAGGTTAACTTAATAAAGCTAACAAGCACTGAAGAGGAGGTGATTGTGCAGCATGTTCTAAAGCTAGACGAGCGAGGATACCCACCCTGGCTTACTGATGTGTAGGATATAGCCAACTCTCTACTTACTAAGCGCCACCAGCCTCCTGTTAGCAAGAACTAGGCTAGCACGTTCGTTAAGCGTTGCCCAGAGCTTACAGTCAAGTTCAATCAAAAGTACAACTACAAGAGAGCCCTCTGCAAGGATCCTGAGGTGATCTAGGGCTAGTTCCGCCTAGTAGAGAATACTAAAGCTAGGTATAGTATCCTAGACAAAGACACCTACAATTTTAACAAGTCTAGGTTTATAATAAGTGTTATATTAATAGGAGCTGTTGTTACAGGCTTAGAGCGTCGTAGAAGACTAAATACAGTACAGCAGGGCGACCAAGAGTAGACTAGCATTATCTAGGGTATCAACCCTAACCAGGTCGCAGAGCATTAAGCTGCCAATGAGGCCGCCACACGCCATAAATCACACAAGAGGAAGCGGATCCAGAGGGAGGGGACTCTCACTGTTAGTAAAGGAGTGTGCTTAACTACCCTAAAGGAGTTTAAAGCCTGTAGTAATAGGAAAAAGGCAAGCTAGAAGAGGTGCGTTAAACTAGGCACTTAGTCTTTACAACGCTGTAGCAGGTGTAGTAAGGCAGGGCACAACGCGCGAACGTGTATAAAAGATGCGCAAGATACTGTAGATTAGTGCTGTATACTGTAAGGTACAGTAACTTGCAGTAACTTGCTGTAATATGCAAGAGAAGTTGAAGTTTGGTGTGGTCTTGGCAAAATCCGGTCACTCGCCCGGGCCGGCCACTCGCCCGTGAGGTACGTTAGAGGATTTAGTATTTATCTCTACTTAGTATATAAGTATTAGGCTGATAAGCCTTTAGTGTTAGATATAAACTTTACTTTTAATTATTAGTAAAGTAGCCTAAATAATTCTATTTTATTACTATCTTATTATATTAGGATATAACTATTAGTAACCCCTCTAGCACTATCTACGTAGATATATAGACTACTAACACTATTATTTCTATAATAAACTTAGCAAGGATATATTCTCTTCGAGTGTAACGTGTTTCACAAGCGAGCGCCGCACCCAACCGAGCGCCGCACTCTCGCTGCCAGAACGCCGGCGCAACAACAGCGCGTAATGTCTCAACCACAACAAGCTCCTACACTCTATACTAAAGCTAATGTACAGCTTGCTATATCTAATATCTTAAGAAACTAAGTTTAAAGTATCTAACATACTAAGAAAGTCTATAAAGTGCCTAAATAAATAATCTAATACTAATGTAACAGAACACACTCTTAATATAACTGCAAGCTAAATATAAAGCGCCTTACAAAGCTAGAAGAGGAGGCAGTTATACTACGTATACTTAAGGAATCTGCGCGTGGCCTACCCTCCTTAAAGGCAGACGTACAAGATATAGCAGATAAACTGCTAAGAGAGCGCGGTGCAAAGCCTGTTAGCAAGAACTGGGTTAACAACTTGGTAAAGCGTACACTAGAGCTCCAGAAGCGGTGGACCCGCCCATACAATCGCCAGCGGGCTGCTTGCGAGGACCCAGCAGTTATCCAGCCCTAGTTCACGCTTGTTCAGTCTATAAAGGCGAAGTATAGTATTATAGACAAGGATATATACAACTTTTATAAGTCTAGCTTCCTAATAGGCAAGATCTTATTACAGCTAGTATTAACAGGCTTAGAGAAGCCTAGGAAGTAGAAGAAGATCTAACCTAGCAATTATAAGTAGGTTACCCTAGTATAAGGTGTTAGGTTAACAGGGAAGGTTATCCTACTATTCCTTATCCTTACAGGCAAGGTTCTTATCTCTAACTAGTTTACTAAGGACCTCCTACAGGACTAAGTTATTAATATTAGTCCTACTAGCTAGACTAATAATAATCTAGCGCTTACCTAGCTCTACTACTTTAAGATGCATGCGAAGCTAGTTAGGGTCTACCAGCTACTTATTATTAATAGCTATAAGAGCCACTGCTTAGTGGCTTTCTAAGATCTCTGCAGAGAGAAGAAGATAATCACTCTCTGTATGCCCCTGCACTTGTCGCACCTGTTGCAGCCACTTAACGTTGCCTGCTTCTCGCCACTAAAGCGCCTGTATAGCAATAAGGTTTTAGCCTTAGCACATAGTCATATCTACTATATTAACAAGGAAACCTTCCTACTAGCCTTTAAATTAGTGTTTAGTAAGGCGTTTACTAGAGAGAACGTTTACGCAGGCTTTAGAGGTGCTATGCTAGTCCCACACAACCTAGAGGTGGTGTTATTAAAGCTTAATGTGCGCCTGCGCACGCTAACGCTACTAAAACCTAGCAACATTGCCTAGGAGCTAAAGACACCACGCACTGCTTACAAAGTAGAGGAGCAGTTAACTCTAATTTAAAAGTAGATTTAAATCTATTAAGGGTCTCTAGTAAGTTTGTTAGATAAGTAGGTTAAATAGTTAGTAAAGGCACTTAGTAGATAGCTTATAATATAGTGTTAATATAGGAGGAAATAGGCTGCCTTTAAGACACTATAGAAGCATCTACAAAGCGCAAGACCTGTAAGCAATAATATATACACGCAGAGGAGACCCTTATAGTTAGTAAAGTAGCTAACTTAATTACTAAAAAGGAGGGTAGAGGTTATAGTAAGGGTAAGATGCCTATAAAGAGGGTGTGTGTTAGATAACACTATAGGTATTACTAGGCTGGCGGATGGGTAGGGTATGCTTTTTTACGTTTTGGCTTATAGCTTCTTAAC